GAGAGAAGACGAGAGGAGAGTAGAAAGAAAAAAAATCTAAAATTATCTAAAAAAGAAATGAATATTTGTCCATCCATCCAGACCACATCTTTCTGTTGCAATTCCACGTGTCTGACTGTTCACCTCTGAGCCCTCTGACCTTCTAAGCCTCAAAGTTAACCTCATGTCACGTCCTCATCAACAACATGGTAAGTGCACATTTGAGTATATGGCCAGAAAGGATGTGTTCAAATACATGCATACTTTTGGTCTGGCCTGTTTTTTGTGGTTGCAATAAATCTTAATGCTACACCATACAATCATATTTTAGACAATAGTGTGTACTTCCAACTTTGTGGCAACAGGAGGAACGAGCCAGGTACATAAAGGTATAATTTTTCAAATTTTGTTAATGAAGGACTAAACACCTTTGATGAATTGGATTGCCAACTGTCAGTCAAACCGTATGACCCGCGTTTGCGTTAAACAAGGCCCTTTTAAGATCGTCGAAACATAGCTGAAACCACTCCGCCTACACATTTTAGGTGCCGGAATAGACCTTTATCACAGCAGCCATTTTGACATGCAATACAAGGGTAAACACAGATGTTACCAATGATACTAATTAAGGTTTCTGTTCCATTCAGGTCAAACAGAGTCAGAGTGCTGTTATTGTGCATGTTGGCTCACTGGAAAGGCTTTGCTACACTAAATGGAAATTGGTAACACCTGTGTTTACCCTGCGACTTCATGTCAAAATGGCTGCTGTGAAAAAGGCTTACATTTTTTTTAAACTTTCTGAAACCGTTAATCCAAAAATCATGCCCACTTTGCCGCCCACTGGTGAGATGAGCACAGGTGAGAATGTAAGCAGGGTTTAAACTTCTCTCTCAAGCTCTCTTTTTTTAATTTGTCACCCCTCTACTTCCACCACTTTTTGTACAACCAAGTGAAACACCACAAATGCATTCAAGGTGAGACTGTCCAAAAGTGTGCGTTGTTATCTCCATTTCAACGATTCACATCACCTTCAAGTGTTTGCTTTTCAGAACAGACATAAACACTTCTGCGTTAAGGTGTGGTTGGACAACACATTGTACAAACTAGTTTCTTTCAAGCATACAATTTCTTTATGGATCAACAGCAGAGGCCGAGCTCACTAATGCTCCTGTGGCTGACTGAGAGCAAATCCTTGTTGTCAGGTTATTGGGGAAAGCCTGGCCAAATGAATGCCCGTGGTTTTGGAATGATACGTTCAATAATCACGTGCAAATGCTCAGATGTCCACATACTTTTGGCCAGATAGTGTAATTGTATCAAGAAGAATCATCAGTGGAGTTTGGAATCGTTACTGTTCCTCTCTTACTCTATCATGTTTCATTTAAACCCACAACTCTCATGAGAAGATGAAAGCATAAACAAATGATACAACGCTTATTAATAACAACAGAAATGCTGCTCAGGCACGTAGTGATCAGCGCTACTAATTAAACAAGTTCTGTGTGAATGTGTGTGGTGCACCAGCATGTATGACTAAAGCCTTTCATTGTCATTTTCATTAGCGCTTTCTAATCATGGTAACCGTGACAAACCTTGAGTTTCTCTAATCATTTTATCAAGGCGAGGGGTGCACATGCTAACAGAGGTGGGGCAGCATGAGAAAACACATTTATCATTATGAGTGTTGAATACTGGCTGTGTGTGTGTGTGTGTGTGCGTGTGTGTGTGTTTCCAGCTTGTGCAGGAATGTGTGAAAGCATGAAAGTGTGCACGTCTAAGGTGTTAAGTAATGTGTGGTTGTGTGTTGCAGCGGGTGGGGGTGGTGTTGAGTCGTTTATCACTGTAATAACTGTACATCAGGACTTTGTCCAGCTGTATTAATATATGCTTGAGGTTAGCAAGGAATCAGAACATAATCAATGCAAGTGATAAATATGATTAAAAGTGATTAATGATGATTAATGAAGGCCTCATCTCCATTGCCTTCTCTCATTTAAAATCAGTCTTACAGCTCCCATCACATAACCCATTGTGTGTATGCGTGTGCGTGTGTGTGTGCGAGCAGCTCCTTCCAGTGCCCAATCAAGCAAATCATCAGCTATAGAGCATTTGAATCAATTCAGCTGAAGAAGAACTTCTTGAAAATCAACCGTGCCTTTCACTAAAAACACAAACAGAAATCAGGATGAATGAGCGGGGCTTGCCAATCACACTGATTATACTGACGCAATATCAGAGGACTGACCTGAGTCTCTTGGAGCTCTCTGTAGCAGCTGGGCCGGGG